CCATAACAAATATATTATGAAATCTAATGCGTTGTAATTGTTATTGTAATATCATTTTATTACTTTATTAATAAAAACTTAGCGTATCAATAGTGTCATTCATAGAATATAGTTTTTGTTACAATGATATTACGATACATAAATCCCTACTAATCCCTACTAATATTATAAATGCGAAAGTAACTCTGTCCGTCTGTCTATCTGTCTGTTACGCTTTCACTCCTAAAACACTGAACTGATTTTAATGAAAATTATTACAGAGATAGAGTTGACTTTAAGAAAGAACATAGGATAGTTTTTATCTCAGACTTTTGAAATGTTCTTTGGAAACGCGATATAACCGCACTCCACGCGGGCGAAGCTGCGGGCGGAAAGCTAGTCTATATAAAATATAGTCAAATATTTGACACTAATAAAAATAGATAAATCTCTGTTCTTTAAGATTTAAGAATACACTGATATAAATAAAATTTTGGAGATTTCGTTCAAGTATATTACCCAAAAATATAAATGAATTGTTATACATTACCAACACAAAACATTCTATGATCCTTTTAAAAACTTACCACACAAATCCTTGTACCATTACGATATACCTGCAACAAAGTCAAAAAAAATAGGTTAAAACCAATGCATTATCCACGGTTTATACTTAATATACAGTTATAGATTCATGGACCAAGAACAGGTTTTATAGATGTCCTTGACAAGGATCAAGGGTTCAAATAAACGATGGATCGTACGTACAGACACTAGGACAGTTAGCTGCTATACTATGTAGGTCACGCTATATATATGTGAAGTTCAAGCCACAACACTCATTGCAAGTCAAAACCTCGAACAAGCAACACGGAATTTCAACGGTGATTAGCTCAAGATTAATAAGTGTTGAGTGACTAAGTAACAGTGAAAAATATAAGGTAAGATTTATATTTAAGGTTGCCAGTGAGTGATTACGTGAAAAACCGTGAAAATTTTTTACAGGATAAAATTCTCCCGTGAAGTGACTGATTGCAATTAAAGGTGTTTCACATGTGACATTTTTTGGTGTGATACAAAAAATATATATAAATATTTTGTGGTTAAATAATTAATGTTTTGATTATTGTTGTGAACACCTTTATTAATTGTGAAAGTACCTTAACGTCTCGTTAGGTTCTATGGAGAAAGTTTAAATATTTAAGCAAACGCAAATCATCGACCGTATAAAATTTTGCTTATTGTTTTATTATAAAATAATTATATTGTATTTATAATAAGATCATATACATAGATATAATAATTTATATAAGTATATCTTTATATTAAGATTTTTCAAAATATTAGATTTAAGATTTTTTTATATATACGATTTGATCATTAAATATTTTCACTGTTAACCTTATTTTAGCTCAACTTTGCTTTATAATACTCATAAATATAAACATTTAAGTTATTTAAATTATTCTTTAAAGCTAAAGCTGAATTCAATTTAAACCGAAATGCAATTTTTGTCACTCAAAATATGATCGATTTGTTATAACGTAAAATCGAAATACTATAACGCATCACCCCTAAATTAATTTATATGCATATTTTAAACTTATAATCGCGATTTACGCCTTTCAATCATTTTAACAATAAACATGTCATATATATTTAATTTACACGAACTTTATCAAATTAATAACAGCGTATCCATACTACATACAAATCACAATTACATATTACCTACATTAAACGACATAAAACAACAATAAAATAAAGTATGATTAAATTAAGGAACGTGCTAACAGATGACATCTTTTGGACACACCTCGACCGTGTCAACGAAAACATTCACTTTCTAAATTGTGAAAATATGCAACCATGAATAAGAATAAATACCATCAAACAAAATATTATTTTACAAGAAATATATGCTAAAAATAATTTCATTACGTTTTTAATGCAAAAGTTAGTACAAAAAGAATCGCGAAGAATTTTTAAGGTATAAATAAGAAATATCGTAAAACGTCGCACCATAAAGCCTAAGAAGGTAATAAATTATCCTCCTTTGAATAGATTAACAGTTCTTTTAATATTATAACGGACATCACTTGTTAATTTTGTATTGAAATTAAAACATATCCATGCGAGAATCACGTTTAATAGAACCGTAGGAAAACGGTTTTTCTATTGGTTTAATCTGTAAATAGAGCGAATCGTAACAATCTCAATTCAACAGAAAGCACTGGTCAAGATTTACATCCCTAATTCCACAATTATCAAATACGAAATTAAGATGAATAAAATATTTTATATAAATAGTTTTATAATACAAGTCTATCGAGTTTTTAGCTGTTAATTAAGTGTCGAGACGTACGCCGGCTGTCGAAAGTGGCAATGAAAGCTGCAACTGATGTGGTCAACACGACTAGCGTGTTCTCATCTACTCTACAGTTTCACGATGTTTCAATATTACTTAGTAATTTGTATGAAAAACAACATATATATTTAATATCAAACCTGTCACTACATAGTAATGTGGCGTAACAGAAAATGTATGCCATCACAAAAAAATAATATTGAATGAAAAAATTTTTAGAAAGCCCACAATACCAGCTCACATTTACCAAACGAGTTTTCATCTCGCAGGTCGTAAAGCATTCTGATTCATTCCTTTCATATCCAAAAAAAAACTTTAAAGTGAAAGTTGTGACGACTCAGAGGAATCGAGCCGACGACCGTTGAACAACGAGATTGTATGGACATTATAATAATTACCACTTATCGTGTGAGATCAGATTGTTTTTGCGTATTAAGTATTAACATAGATAGTTATCTGTAAAAACCCGTGTCGTATACATTAATTTCGTTAACAGTTATTAACTAGGAAAACTAGAACAAAATTCTTTCATAAACTAATTAACTTAACGTAATTAAAATTATTACTTTCTTAGAAAATAAATAAACGAAGTATATTAACTTAAGTTCCGAGATCATTTAAAAGAGAGCAGACATATGCATCTCAATCATTTTTACCGTTTGATCCACTTCTCAAACACCGTAACGACGCGCACGGATCAATCAAATCGATTGCATATTTTGCACTAAAGTACAAAGATGTTTTGAATTAATTATACACATTCTAGGGGTCATGCATAGCTTTTACAATTTTTTTGACATTATCTATCAGCCATGTTTACAGCATAATATTTATCCACGGTTGAATAATCGTTTCATGTTCACATCCGCGTGCGAGACACGCACAACGGCTGCGGTGTTTTAGAAAGCGGATAGCACGCTTGCGCCGGACCGGTCAATGGCAAGCGAAAAACGACTTAAATCCCGATAATACAAGCCTTGACTTATTACCGGATATTTCCTAATATATATGATATAAGCCGAATAAATATCTATATTAATAAATACACAATTTTATATACATAAGTCGAGGTATAACAAAATCTGTACATTACTTGCGTGAAATAATTTCTAACGTTACATGTTTCAAGTAAACGGTATTATTGAAATCATCGTACATAGAAAACTGTCATACGAGTGAAATTAACAACTTTTATTTTTCCACGCTGAATATCCGATGAAAGTTGTGATCGAGTTATCGTTGTAATATCAGGTCTGATACTTCTATCCGAATTAAGAAAAAACATTAACCTTGCACAGTAAAACAAACGGGACCGGCTTGTTTGCTTTCACCTATTGCCATGTTTGATACTCACACTTCACTCGTCTTATAAAGAAAAATAAATCTTATGAGAATATTACATTCACTTCAGTATATACAATATAACATTACAATTTTATATGGTGTTCAATTTATTGATGCGGTTTAAAATGGAAATATTATACGCATCCGCTATAATCGAAAGTGAGTTTTCCCGCGTTAAGTTCAATAGCATGCAACGCAATGGTTACTAGGTCAGATGAACGGCGACGTTTCGTTTTACCACAACCAATATATACATAGTTAGAAATGCAACTTTTTATATTAAGCCTCAAACAACCTACCCAACCAAAACTAACTAGATATTTTAACTACATTAATTTACACAACTAAGCCGGTTCCCAACTAAAAAATAAACCTGCAAATTAAAATGTTCGAATAAATTTCCGCCTTTCTTTATTCATTGAACGTTTTGTATGAAACATTATGCCTTTGTATAGCGAATATAGAAGTTGTGTACTTTAAGTGATACATAAAACATGAACGTTTATTCTTGGCATCGACAGAACAGAATTTCTCTAGAGAGAATCTGCACATGTATTAAAGCTAATGACCACTGAGACTCGTTGAATTGATTTATAACTTACGTTTAAATCGTATAGAAAACATTCAAAACAAATAAATATTAGTAAATAATAACGTTATATCAAAATATTTAAAGTTAATGGAAGAATTGTAAGACAAAATCAAGAATTAATTACATATATGAAACTGCTGTAGATAGCAACACTGTTTTTAACTTTCTTTGAGCCAACTACCGAGTACATCTTTTAGTACATATTCAACCGTTATTATTAACTTCAATTGATATAACTAGCACCTTATTAAGACAGGTGCGAGGTGACATCCGAACTACAGTTAGTAGAGACCGGGTCACCTGCATTAGAGATTGTCGGTCGAACCGCTAACATACTTCCATACCGGATAACTGATCAAACAGTGTCTTGGGCATGCGTTTTAGCCGTCAGTAAACTATAAATAGAAAGTTAAAACAACGTTTAAAACTAAACGTTTTGTCAAATGACGCCGATCGGATAATTATTTTAATGGACATCCTCTAATTAGTCTACAATCAACATCCACGTAATACTCGGCGCGGAGTATGAGGGGCCACTTTCTACCATCACCAAACACAGGCAATCAATCCGAGCGAATCATTATTCACTTCATAAGAACACTTTCTAATCGACGTCCATCGAGATTGCACAATCTCCTTTAAAATTTTATTTTATTTTAAATTCTTAGGTACTTGACGCTCTCAAAAATTTCCTTAACTTGTATTTTCTTTTATAGAATGCATCAAAAAATAACCGGATGGGCATTTTTGGCCCTTATTAGTTCATCAGCCATTCTTCACACGCTCGCATATCCTCAACATGCACCACTCATCTCACAGGTAATTATAAAATTAATTCTAAAAACTATAAAAAAATAATTGTCAAAGTTAAAACTGAATACGTCAGTAACCAACCAACAGTAAGCAGGTCGAAAAGATTTCCCTATTAAAGTAATTTTGTAGAGACTTTTAAAGACCTGATCTAAAATATATCTAAGAACTAAACAGATAAAAGACTAATCAAAATAATTAACAGTAAAAGTAATATTTCAGACGTTATATTGTCAAGTTAATGAAATTAAATCTGTCACTTCCAGGCCACGAGTAATGTAAGGACACAAAATCCACAATACTATAGTAATTCGTTGCCAGTTCCACAACGGGAACAAATAGCCCAGGAGCGTAAATTTGCCGAAAAACCTAACGCATTGAAAAAAGTCGCGCTCGACGATTTGGATGAAATTCAAAATAATTCAATATCCGAAGGCGGTTTCTCATGGACCAATATGCTAGGTGAGGTTCTTTTTTATTGTCTCATTTTAACTATCATGAAGTATATACAAAAGCTGCCTGCGTGTTAGTTTCGTATTTTAAATGGATGTTAGTAAAATCTTCAGGTATGATAATGCAAATGCTCTTCAACCCTGGTGGCAGTGGATTGACCGGACCAAACAAGAGTGACAACTTGGACACCGATTCTGGCTCTACATCTCCTTGGGCTAACCTCATCACTATGGGTTTCAAGATTCTGACTGCCATCCTTGGTGGAGGGGCTTCAAACGATGGCATAGACAAAGTCGACAACGGTTCCTCCCCAATGCAGGTACCAAATATGAATATAATCTTTCAGCATGTCCAATCTAATATTAATTATAATAAGGAACTATAGCAAATTATTGTACAAATAAAATTTTAATTTCTAGACACATAAGTATGCCATACTGATCAACTAACATTATTATTATCTCTGTAGATATACGCATATTATTTAGTCTTTATTTTTTACATCGGACACATCCAATAGTGTAAAGCACCAACAAAATTTTATCCTCACCTGTATTTATTAGAGAAACCAATTTAGATATTACCTATATAATAACTAGAGCCTTCCGATCTTAAAATTACCTCATAGAAAAGTTCTGAGAACAAAAATTTATCGTTTGGTTATAATGTTCTGTGAGGTAGTCTATAGTGAGATTGTAAATAGTAAAGTATGGTTATGGAGACGGTTTCGCTTCTCGCTTGCTTCAGAGTATATTGGCCGCGGTTCTGTCGACGGTGCTCGGTGCAAAAGATCCCGACCAAGTAGCCTCCATGGCAAAGCAGGCTGGAGAGGTACGCGACTTATCCTTCCTACCCTTCATTCGAATTCCATTCACGTTACACCTATTCTAAACATTTCAATGCATATTCTTTGCTACCATATGTTAAGATATTTTAAGTATTCATTAACAAGATATCGCATTTTGACTGATAGCAATTTTTCTTCTTTTCAGTTCATTAATATCGTAGTGAATCTCTTGGACGCTCTTAAAACATCCTTCTCCCACCGTTCGTTGACCGCTAGGTCAATGGGTCGCAAGGACTCCGTAAGTGACGCAGCCATCGCTGGCATTGCAATGCTGAAGACATACGTCAGATCCTTTGGAACGAATGACGACAAATGCCTTCAAAAATACATATGCGACGCAAATAGCGAATGTTCCGCAGATATCGGTCCAAAGAGCGTATTCTGTCAATTGGGAACGTGAGTACTTTTTAGCGCAATTAAATTTAATATTTATACAAGATTGTGATAACTAAAGTATGATATTTTCTGTAGTTATGCCGCAAGTTTCGTAATGGAGAGGCAATCTGGAGGTACGTTCAACCAATTCTTCGAAGCCGGCCGTCGCGGAAGGTCGGGCATCGACTGCCGCCAACTGTATCTCGAATGCAACGAGGTTTAAATAGATTGACAAAAAACAATATAACAAAAATACCGCCAAAAACAACACTACGACTGCTGTTACTATGACCGCAGTTAAATCTATATTTCCATAATTTCCACATTTTTCCAAATCTAAAGCTATTGTCATTCTTTAAATTACTTATCCGTTATTCGTATCATCGACTTTGCTTTGAGATAACAGTGATTACCCCCACAATGTGTAGGAGTAGAGATAGGGTGTAATTTATTTAAATTATTTATTTATTTTAACTTATTTTAGAAGTAAATAACAAATGTTATAAAACACAAAAAACATTTAGAACATGCTCAAGTAATGTTAACATCATTTGAATATCCTTTTAAATAATTATAAACAAATTGGCAGTGGATAATATTTTGTGATTCCGCCAATATTTTTATGATGACTGATGTAAATTTGGGTGATATAAAATAATTTATCACCATTTAGTTAGTAATTAAATGTATATTTTGTGATGGAGTGAATGAGGACGTCCTTGTATGATTGTGATTATGAAATAAAATCTTTCAATAAATACCATCTTTTATTCGAATAAACTACATACATTTTCCAATTTATTTTTTATTTTTTATAAGTCGCAAACTATGTTATAATGTGTTTAAATCGCTGATACAGTTAGTACCAGAAACACATTAGACACAGCATACCAAGTAGAGCGTATTAAAAACTATACCATAAGATGCAACTCGTCGTAAAAACTTGACACTCTGTGTATTGAAAGCGTGCAAACATGTCGTTGGAAAAAATCTACTCCCAAATGGAAATAGAACCGAGGCAACAGGTCGAGAGGTAGGTCTGAATTAATATATTTATATATAACAAACGATACGTAACTTTAAACTTAAACGTAATAGATACGCAGAATATCCGGGAATGTCGCACGAACAGCCGGTGTATTACCCGTACGAACCAGCATCGGGATCGCATGTACCCGTGGTTACGAAACAGTGAGTAAAAATCATTAAAAAAGTTACGAATAAACATATTTTATAGAAAAAAAATTAAATCATCCATTATGTTAACGTCGATAATTTTTTTTTATTTCAATTCAAGTATTAGTTTGAAATTGGTTTGGTTAAATATTTTTTCGTAATTACAGTCATTACAGCGGCGGTCATAAGAGTAACGCGGCTATGTCAGCCTTAACGCTGCTAGCATTTCTCTTCTTCCTACATATTCTCCAACAATGTCTAAGGGACCACATGAACGCGATGGGAACACCCCAAGTCATGGTGGTTGGCGGACGCGAAAACGAACGTAACATCGCAAAAACAAACAAAATCGACAAAACAAACGATCAAAACTACGATTACAATAACGATGATACTGATAAATATACGAAAATAACGACGTCAGATAACGCGTGGAAGAAAACGAAATATAACGTTCAGAAGCATTACAACAACAGAAGTTCGTACCGTTACGACCCGATGGATTATTAGTTGTGCATTTTTTATTATAATCGTCGAAAACTTTATCAAAATAAAACAAACGTTTATTTAACCGTATAATTATTTTATTTCATAAAAATAAAGACACTATACATTTCATGTTTGTTTTTGTTTACAATTCAGAGAAGCTGTGTGATGTGTTATATAAAAATAATACAATATATATGATAGACTATTAACTCTATTTTTTGTTTGTTATTGCTTAGTAAATTCATATTTCTTATTGCTTAACAGTTTAAGGATATTTGAGAATAATTTAGTAAAATTCAAGCGATGAGTCTACATAATAAAAATTACATCCCACACCCCATTATAACAGAAAAAAATTTATGTAATTATATTTTTTACACACAAAATCTATTAAATAATGACTAACAAATTAAAATAATCTTATTCCTTATAAACTTTTATTAACATTAAAATCAGCAACCACAACTTTATATTTCAACTATCAAAGTATGAAACATTATATAATACGCTCTTAATACGTAAAACTCAGCCTACATAGAAATATTTGACATCACAATTGCATGTAAAAATCATTTAAAATTTCATATAACATTAATTCTATAAATAGACTATCATTGTAATGAAATTTTATAGATTTCTTGCTAAATCTTATATAACGACTAAATCTAACGAATTCTCCTTTTAAAGCTCAATGGAGTTTTCATGAACATCCTTTATATAAAAAATATAGAACACCTGTATATGTGAAACGTTCAAATCTTCAATGGCGCCTCACTCGCTCGATATATTTAGTTTGCGTGAGCGCACTAGACCCCATAGTGGGGTCGGTCATTCTATTCCAATCAGTCTGACCTACAACAAAACCGATGGCTCGCATTTTCTCTTGCTGTCTCCTCTCTTCGATATCGGCCCAACGTACCTGTTTCAATCACAACATCATGAAAGTCCAAAGCAAAACTTACCGCCACATCGTATTATAAAACTTTAGGTGACGTCATTAATACTATCACATTACAACGACATCAATCATCACCGCGTCACAATTGTAATAAATTTTCAAGTAACAGCTTACCCACAATATGAAGCGTTAATTAATGTGTTCCGTATCACACGTCATCCGTCTGTACGGTATAAGACATTTCCAATGGGAAATGTTTTGTAGGATTTGATAGGACCGGTCGAAACGATTCTTTTATATGCGTCTAATATAATGAATATATTATGAAGACTCACAGTTTTCTTTCCAGGTTTAGCTGTATTCGGTTTCCAGTCGTCTAGCTGTAAGTAGTCTTCCATGGATAGCTGGGACGAACGCAGCGGCCGGCTAGTACCGTCGAGACGAGCTGCAACAATATATATACACACTTAGATATATTAAAGATAATAGTTTGTATTTATGTCTAATAATCACACACATTTTAACTATGTATGAAATTTTCTGAAATTAAATACAGGTTATTTCTATTGATATGCCACCCATGTGACGCCAGGGTATATTGGTAGTTATAATTAAACAAATATTAATATGTGTATAATAAAACAATATGACAGTATGTCTGAACATATTACATATAATATAATAATTATCGGTAACATATAAATCCTCTAAGAGCAGCTGACGTGCCAGTATATAAGATACATTATATATAAACACAAGTCATATTAAACCTACCTAGTTGGGCGGCGTCTTCCATTTTTTCCCATTTCGACGTAAAACTATTATCGACCTGGCAGAACAGTACTTTCAAAGTTTAGTTAAAACGCTGAAATAAAACTGATTAACCCTAACCTGATAACATCAAATAGGGAGGAAATGACAATATAATTAAAATATGAAGTATTCCCAATGTAACATCACATTATTGAGTTTAATGGCTGCAAATCCCAGTGCAAATCATTGCAAATCCCATTGCAAACCGCTTTGCAAATCCCATTGCAAATCCATATCTCACCTCAGGGTTTTCCACTTCCTCCATAGTGACGTCATCAGCGTCCTCCATTTGTACTTCCCGAATGGACGCACTCTGAAGTAAAGTCGTCGGATCCAACTGTATGTGATGTGCTGGGGTTGGGAAAAATCTAGAAACTATATTTTCAATGTCTTCCAACGATCTATTGTGTATGTTCCTCTTGAAACATGCTTGCGGATCCATTTCCATTGTGCATATGTATACCTGAAGTGGATATATAAGAACATAACTCGAAAATCTCGATACACAAATATATTTGTTCTCAAACATACCTGGAAGCTATTCTGCCTTGAAAAATTCCAAATATCAGCATAGGACTTCAATTGATCGTTCACGGCGTCGTATATTAAGAATGTGAAGTAACCATCCGTTATACTTCTTTTGAAAGCACGTTTTAACGAAGACAAATATGATTCTTCAGAGCTCTCGTCGTATTCGTATTTTAGTGACGGTTTCTTCACCTAGAACATAAAAAAATAATCATTTGACATTAATTGATATAAAAAAGTGACTATTTCTTAGTTGCTAAGTCAATTTCTTACAATTTTTCCCGTATTGGGATCTTTTTCCTCGATTTCCCCTTCTTGCATGAAGTAATCGTCAATGGACATTATTCTTGCAGTACCCCCATGCTCGGCTTCTTTATCTCTTATCAATTTAGCTAAATAAGATTTACCACTTCCCGGTGGACCTGTAACATGTTTTCATACACATTTTAAGGTTTTTTTAAATAAGATCAATAAAATCATACACTATAGAATTATATTTCGACTGAATGATTAAATTATCATATAGATATAAAATGTTTTTATTATTATGTAACTATCTACTACAGGTACATTATTTTGACTAGCCTATAAGCATATTATAGTCTTTAATTCGTATGAATGATCTTAAAATTTGACTAAAACTGTTTAAAATAAGAGGAGCTATCGTATAAGTAAATAATACCAAGTAAAATCAAATTAATTGACTAATAATACGTACCTCTCAGTATTATAACCATTTTCTCAGGTCTCATAGTGCGTCCTGGTAGCTCTAGAAGGTCATCTATCATAACCACATGTTTAGGCTTATTTGGTGGAACTGTCTCATTTTTTACATCCCTATTCTTCTTCAAACCATAATTATCAATAGATTCCGTTTCTCTACTATGTCCTCTCTTACGATTTTCTTTATCACGACTTCGGCTACGATTTCTACTATCTCTGTCATCTTTTCTATATTCTTTACTTCTACCTCTTATATCTCTATCTCTATCCCTCATGTAATCTCTATCTCTCCCCGACTCCCTCTCTCGACCCATATCTCTATCTCTGTCTCTCTCATCTCGCCCCCTTCCCATATCTCTAGATCGTTCCTGTTCCACTCTATCTCTCCTATCATATTCTTCTCTTCTAAATCTATCACGGTCATCACGTCTTCTGTCATCTATTCTTCTATCATACATGTCACGATCGTCTCGAGTTCGATTTCTATCTCTCGCATCATCCTTTAAACCTCTCCGATCGTAATCTCTGGAATAAAATTTATCTGTACTACTCCAATCATCATCGGCTCTTCTTTTCCTTGAAAATAAATCATCTAGTTCTTTATCGAAGTTCTTCTTATTGGAACTTTCCCCATCCTTAGATTGGTGATTGTATTCAAACATGTGTACAGGTTCAATGAAATCCCGAGCTGAAAATAAATATCCAAATAAAATTTAAGTAAAAAACATATAACATTGAGGAATATATGTTTTGTTTTGGTATAGACATGCAGTGCTGCAATCAATAACAATTAACTTTATATCAAACATATCTATTATAGAATACATAATAAAAAAGATAAAAATGTATGTCATTTTATTTTTAATCATTTATCTACATAGAGAAAGGCAGTCCAAGTAAATATATACATGGTAATATGCATCTCAATTTATTTTTAAATAATGTAAATACAATAAGATAATTTTTGTTAAAATATGCATAAACCTAGGTTTAATAAATATTATTTCAGGTTTGACATAATAAAAAAAAAATACTCTCTGTAGAAGACATTTGATGACATGAGATATAAATTACTTAGTTTTTATTAATTTAAATAATTTCCATCAAACTAACTCCATTTATATTATGTATGCTATACTATTTCTAAATTATATGGAATGCTTGTATATTATTTTTTTATTTTATTCACAATACTTAATATTTAATGAGGTAAATACTAAATATATCTTAAAATAATTACATGATATTTGGTGTGTAATAATTGGTAATCATAACAAATATAATCACTTTCTTTAATTACCTTTCAATCTTAATGGTTTGTGTTCATATTCAACTATAATTGAGGGTGTGAACAAAGGTTCATCCACCCATTTAGGTTTTAATGGCTGAATCGGTTTTATATCTGAATCCATCCTCCTCATGTAATCTCCTTGTGGATAATCACTTTGCTTTGGATGGAAATTTGGCATAGGTCTTGGCATATTAGACCTATTTTGTGGTATATTTTGATTCCCAAGTCTATTGTATTCAAAATTTTTATCCATATCATTACTTCTTATGTTTTCATTTTGTTCATTAGAACATCCATACCTCTGGTAATCAGGATCGGTATAACTAGAACTTGAAGCTTGATTAGTATAATTCTCATTTGATTGTTGGTAAGGCATGTTTCGAGATTGCATATTATTGTAATTATTTCCATGGTAGCTACTGTTATTTCCACTATATTGCATGTTTCCAGGCTGATTATTCAGGTCTTGTCGTTGAGAACCCACTGAACCTACTTTACTTTCATTCCTAGTATTCTGACTGCTCATCATAGAGAGTATGTTCATAATTTTTTCATCCCCAAGAATGTTATTAATGCCTTTAGATATTTTCGAATAGTCAGGTGCTTGAATATTTTGTTGCGGTTGTTGAATTTTTCTTTCTTCTGTTATATCAATTACATCTAATTGTTTTTGTACAGATTTATCACCATCTGGTACCAAGTCTAAGCCTGGTATGCCATTAAAAGCATCGTTTGTAGGTAAGAAATTAGAAGTGTCACTTGAAGTTGTGTAATCATTGCTCATATCCCCATAATATTCATACCTGTCTTGATGTTCCACAGAATTTTTATTACTCCTATTGTAACTTGTCTGGTTTAAATGGCCAATTGACTCATACTGAGATTGATTTTGGTTTATGTAATTCTGGGTAGCATTATTTTTTGTTTGAGAGTTTTGCACATTTGTATTATAGTTGGTTTTGTTAATATTTTGTGTAGGTGGAGGAATACTTGTTGATATATTACCTGCGCTGTTCATTGTGGTGTTTGCTGTTTGTGTAGCTTTGACACCCATTAGACGATCTCTTTTGAGCTTCATCTGTTGACGCCGCTCCAGCAACTGTGCACGACAGCTGGCAAACTTTTGCTCATACTCCATATAAGCCCTTTTATCGGGATGGTTAACATTCTCATTTTTCCATTTTTTAATTTCCTCTTCCCATTTTTGGAATTGTATATCAAATAAACGCTCCTCCTCGGCTAGCTTCACGAGCGCGTCCGTGTTAACGACCTGAGGGGTCGGTAAATCGGACATGGAATCTGTTGTGGAAGTTTGATTAAAATTGTTACCTGTTTTAGGAACCTCGTTATAACCAACTTTAGAGTATTGTAGATGGGACGTGTGTGACACAGACTGTGTTTGCGATGGTGTATTTCCATACAGAGGTTGGTTGTTTTCATGAGGGGGCGGAGGAGGCTTTTCCGGAGGAGGTGGCGCTGGGGGTGGCACCGCATTAGGAGCTGGAGGTGGTACCCCGCTCATGGCATGAAGAGCTTGCATATGCTGAGTATACTGAAACAGTTATACGTAAAAATTATTAATTACAACACTGATTTTGTTAGGTTCACAGTATAAAATTATGTACCTTGTCACCATACTGGCTTTGCCATTGAGCATACTGTTGTTGCCATTGTGCCCATTGCTGCCAGTTCTGTTGTTGCATTAACGCCCACTGTTCTGGTGTGTATGATCCCATATTAGCCATATTCATATCTGGCGTCATGGAAATGCCGGAATTCCATTGACCCGTAGGCATAGACCAAGCCATATTCAAAATAAAAAATTACAAGATAATTAAAAATTTAAGATTTCTTAATTTAAAAATGTATTCAATCATTCATTAACGCAATCAAACTGAAGTTGTCAAAGGTTCGAAAATGTTTTTTTCACAACATAAGACGGCCATCTTGACAAACGAAAAACATAATCGCAATATACTGCGCAATGCGCGTGTACAAGAGCTCAATAATGAATAAACGAGAAATGGTCAGAAACACTAGGGTTGTCCAATACACAGTTCAATGATCGATAAATTAAAAATCAATGTATTTTGATTCACATTCTTGTACATATTAATTAAAAAATGTATATAAGATACATTTTGCTTATATAGTTAGGTATAGATAATTTATTGTTTAATTTAATTTTTTTACACGCACTTGGTTACCACATTATTTTTTAAGATAACTTTATTATTTGACTGAGCCTTAAGTTTCTCCAGTAAAATGTAATAAATTGAACAAAATAGTTTTACGAAATTCAAGATATTGTAGGAAAGGTCTTTATTTTATACTAAATAATATTAGTAAGTATTGTCATGAAAATGAATTTAGTGCTTTAATTGTAAAACAACAAAATCATGCTTAATATATATAACACTCTTTATACGAATAATGGACATAAGTAAATAAATAAAAATAATAGAGATGACTTATTGTTTGATTTTAAAGTAGGAAAACTATTTAGTTTTTATAATGAAAATAATTTAAGCTGTCACTGTGAGTCTTAATGTTTTCTTTTATATAAGTATAACACAATTGATAAAATCTAAATTAGTATTTGTATGTATTCACTAATCAAAAAATGTTTAATTTTCTTTTAATACTTTACATAATCCCAATTATAACATCCATCGATTTAAGGAGAATTTGACATAAACTATTATCGATATCGTTCATAGTTGACCAGGGACACTACTATTCAGACGCCATTTTTGCTTGATATGTTAGTGACTGCTGTGTTGTTTCATCTATTTTTATTGAAATCTATTATAAAAGAACCTTTTTTCAGTTGTTTAGGTTCATATATGGCGTGTAATGCAATTAATATTGTAATATAATTAAAGGTAGAAAATTTTATACCATACTATCGGTGTTATCGACTGCGCGGGAAATGTGTATAGCTACGTTTTATACTCCCGTCAAGTAACAGTGGTATTCAATATATTTGTTTCAAATAATCTAATATAATTAGTGTACACCATGATTGCCCATAAAGGACGAGAAGGAAAGAGGGGCAAGTTAAAAATGTCGAAAAATATAGAGCGTTTATATAAAGAAGTAAAATGCCGTGATTGTTCAGTGGTAGTGACGCGAATGGACTTTGCGAAGATCTTAGGGAAATTTACCAAAGTGAAGATACAATATGAAAGTAGTTCGTCACCGAAAAGCAATAAAAACATAGATGCATATACACATAATGTAAACGCAAGACTAAAAAATAATGAAAATGGTATGGTCCTCATTCGCAGAAATGTCTATAACCAGCATCCAGCCAAAGAACCATTTACGAAAAAAAAGCATAAAAATCAAGATATTTCAACAAATATCACGTCACCTACTAAAAAAACCTCCAATATTTTAAAGGAAAACAATGTTTTGAAAAAATCACTACCTATTGAAAAAAGTACTAATTATAATAAGAAACAAATTACTAATTCCACATTAAAACAATACGGTATTATATTTAATGACCCCATTTGCAATAACAATATTGATCATATAGTTGATCTTTCTTTATTGGAACTACTACCAAACATCAACAGAAGTATATTACCGTCAGAAGAATGGTCCATTGATTACCTTCCGAAACCAGATGAGCCAAAGGATGACAAAGTTTATGATAGGATAGCCGCTGAGCTTGAAGATCTTATGTATAACGAGAAACCTGAAGCAAAGGCTGAAGTCATAGAAAATAAAGTGGACGAGTTCCCATCTATAATGGATATTCTTAATGATAACTCAACGGAAACACTACCAGAAACAAAAGAAAGTAGCACTTTAGATAACTTACAATCAAGTGATGTTGAAGCAATGCTTCTCGGCAAAGTAAACAATGACAAAATAATGGAAGTCGACAATACAGATATTAATAAAATTATTGAAGATGTAACTCAGTTTAATAGCGAAAACAAAGCAGTAGAAGAAGAAAATGTAATGGTTAACTCGCACAGTCCATCACTATTAGATGAAGCTCTACAAAAAGGTATAGAAGAACATCTGCCTAATAACATTGACAGTAAAGACACAAGCATGCTTGATGTGACTTTAAAAGAGAATGATAATTGTGAGAATGAAAACAAACCTGAAATTGAGACAAGTGTTAAGCAAGAAAATGTAACTAACAGTAATGATGAACAAAGTACTGAAAATTGTACGTCAGTAGGTCCCGAAAATGGTTTAAAAGTAGCTCCTACACCAAAATTCGAAGACGTCACACATGTAGTATTTAAAAAGGTTATAGATGGAAAATGTCAGAAATCTGTAACATGCCTTAGAAATTTAAAATATAGCATAGAATTTGAAGAGAAATCTATAGAATTTTTAGGTGCTCCTAAATATATTTCAAGCTTAGAAGACTTACAGGTACTCTTACAGATTGTAAACGAGACCAGCCTACAGAGTTTATATGTTCTATATTAGTTTAAAATTGTTGTAAATGATATACATATGTATATTGTTGATATCAAAGTGATCTAATATAATTGTGTTGGGACTAAGTATCAAAGATTACTTAAAAAATGCTAATATAATAGATAGGTTACTGTATAAATGAAATATTCATATATTTCATTTGTTATAGATTTAACAATTGATAAGCCGTTTAAATGGAGAATTTGAAACAAGCCTGTTTTATTATAAGAAATGAAGAGATAGTATCCTAATTAAATAAATATGAAATTTAAACTTAAGACATTGGATTGAATTATTGGTTTATGCCTTTATTCATGATGAATATATGTATTTAAAATTTTGGTCACTTTTATATATTCTGTAAATTTAAGATTGTAATACATGGCTAGATTTGTATTTAACAAAACGCTTTAAACATAATGACTATATTATATAGATGTATTAAAGGAAAAGAATATTAGTGCCTTTAAAGTAGAATTCACCAGGATTGAATCAACCCAGCCAAAAGATTTTTTAATTAAATAAGTAACTAATGTTGCTATATCAATATATTTATAAAACATTTTACATCTATGAGTCTAATTATTCGAAATTGAAAAATAATACTCTCATACCCTCATTTATAGTAGAAAATCTTTGAGATACTAAAATCTTGGTAAGAAAAGTTTTAGGGCTTTTTAAAACTAAATAAAATCTTATTAATGCTAATTTGAAAAACAAACATTAAATATAAAAGTCTTAAACATTTTATTCTGACATTGTTTTGGTAGAAAACTCCAATATTTCTTTACACTGGTAACACTTAAATAAACTACAGTAGGAGTAGCAATCTTCCACTGTCAATCTTAGAAGGATCATTTTTTGTTATACTTCAATTACAAAAATCTCGAGAATTATTCATTATGCATGCTATAAATAATCGAGTTTATTTAAACCAAATGCTCTTTAATAGTATTTACATTATTCTTTTTGTTTTAGTGTAGGGTAAAGAAAAACATCGAAAACTTAATATGGCTATTTTAACTGTAAATCTAATTGCCTTATAATTTATTTAAAAATATATTCATAAAAGTAAATACTTATTTTAAATAATAGTAGATATAAAGGTCGTAGTTATCATTTTAAGGTTTGGTTACACTGATGAATTTCTTTGTTAACACGATGTTGTTTTTTGTTCAATAATTTATTTATTGATATACCATATTTTAATTTATAAAATTTCTTAAAAAATAAATTGATAAATAGTTCTCATGAAATTTTGTTGGTCTCACATAGACAGATTCGAAACAAGGTTAATAGAAAATGAGTTTAATAAAATCGGAAAACTATTTGTGACTAACGATTATATATTTTTATTGTAAATGTTTTACTTTGTGTTTCGGCCCCGAACGATCGTATTTATTTTTTCCCAATTATACGGCCATCTCAAACGGAGCAACCGCAAAATGTTCAATTTTTTGTTTTAGAGACAAGTACCAAACACTCTTGATTATCAATTTATGAAAGTTCTAAGAAGAAATGTATTTTTATCTTTTACTTCAGCAAATGGCCTGACTTTTCTTAGAAAATATTTCATTTATGTTTCATTTGAAAAAAAAAACGGTAACTTTTTAAAACGCTTGGCGACCTCGGTTTTTTTATATTTACTTCTGTAATACTTTATTGTACAGAAAAATATTGCAAAATTAAAGGAGTTGCGTATAAGCATAGCATTATTTTTCTACCATAAAGTTCTTTTGAATACGCGTGTTTTATTTTTAATATTAAGGAATTAGCTCGTGAGTACTAGAATAAGATTTTTATTTAAATAAATTAAGGAATGTCATTCATTGTTATATAAATTTAATAAAACAATTGCATAGAATATATCAACCAATATTTAATGTGTTAAAAGTAGAGCAATAAAGACAAAATAAAAAAACTGACTTTTATTTCTCATCACTTTCAATTTCCTTCTATGCTCAATTAAAGACAAACATATTTGAATTTTTTGTTAAATACATCGTATTTTTCCGGGTAACTAGTTTGAGTACCTTCTTTGGTTACCGATAGTGTTGCTATTTCACAAGCAGCACCTACAATTTGGTGGAAATCAATATTCTTTTTGTTTACTAAGAATGTACCTAGAGCACCAACAAATGCATCACCAGCACCCTGTAAAAAGTAGTAGAGAAGAAATTAATTTGAAATGTTATAAATATTACAAGAGTCATGGACAAACTTGACTTATCCGACATAAAAACGCAGTCATAATTTTTATAGCACAAAAAATGCTTAGTTTCAATTATTACACTTTATACTTACAGTCGTGTCTACTGCTGTTACTTTATCACATAAAACATGAATATATTTTTTTGTATTCTTTAGGCAGTATGCGGCTCCCTGAATTCCCAATGTTATTAAGGCAATTTCACATCCAGTTTCCAGTAGTTTATCAAGAGCAACCTTTATATTACTAAAAAAATATATACATAGTTAATTTTAATTCTAAAAAAAAACAAATATACATGTATTATTTACACCTACGGGATTTCAACTTCAAAACCCACTAATAAAGACGCTTCGGATTCGTTTACACAGAGTATAGTACAATAGGGCAATATTTCTTGTATATCCGTCCTAGCAGGAGCAGCATTTAGTAATTTAATCTGTAATGGATAAAGCAATATCAATTGTGTTATAATCTGTATTCTTATCAATTGTTTGTTATCTTATCTTTATTATTATATTTTTGGTACTTACGCCCTTATTTAACTTAAATGTTTCCAATGTGGTCTCAAAAGGAGTTTCTAGTTGTGCGATAATGATATCAGCATTTTCTATTAATTCCTTAGCTTCATCAACATCAGCTTTACTGAGATAATTATTAGCACCAGGCACTATAATTATTTGATTTTCACCATTTTCTGCTACTGATATTTGAGCAATACCAGTGGTGACATCGTTGGTAATATGAGTATATGTTACATCGATTCCATGACTTTTTAAACTGTCTTTATATTGTTGACCCCAATGATCATTTCCTACCTTAAAAACAATCATTTTGATGAAAACTTCAAGAGATAAATACGAAGATAAAAACGATAAATATGTAAATTAAAGTAACCTACTCTGCCGATCATATATGTATTTCCTCCTTGTTTCGCTGCAGCTACACATTGATTAGCACCTTTACCTCCAAAGCTTGTGACAAATTTGGTTCCATGAAGAGTTTCACCGGGTTTGGGAAGTCTTGGAGAATACCTATATACATAAATATAAAATTTTTGCTGAATAACTTTATTACCTATAAGATTTTGTACCTGATTGTAATTCTCTACCTTATTAACATCAAGCTATAAAAAAGGTACATACGTCGTGAAATCGACACTGCAAGATCCAATAATAACGATTTTAGGATTCATATTACTGTCAAGACTTCTTATTACAATAATAACAGCTAGCTGTTGAGGTTAAGATAACCTTCAAACAAATTACGGTATTACTTCACGACGTTTTAAAATATGACTACTTAATAAACTTTATCTTTATTATTTACGAAACCGCTACACAGACTCGCGAGAATGTAGTTATAATAGTCACGTGATAAAGTAGTCGTGTGTATAGAAAATATTCTGAATTTTTAATCAGGACGAACGCCTAAAGTACATAATATGTTCATTTGCATAAAAATATATAGTTAAACCACGAAACTTGATTAAACTTGTGCACATACTAAAACCTTAAAATTTTTGAAGAAAATCTACATTTATATTACATAGTGATAGAAAAATTAATAAAAATGTAAAATAACGAAATACTTTTTTTAATACATATATACTTAACACCTACATGAAGTCAACAACTAATTTAATAAAAAATATAGTTAATACTTATATTTAAAGAAAATTTTTCATGAATTTGTGAATTTTTCTGAGTATAAACTATTTTTTAAAAACCTCCCAAAACTACTTAATACAAGTAGTGCATATGGTATTTGTTATTATAACATTTTGGCAAATTATCACAATTACCAAATTAACACCATTTTCCTAATAATTAATTAATATGATCTAACCAATGGCAAACGGTGTAGTATAATGTAAGTGTATAAACATATAATAACTGAATTTTGAACAACCTTTATTGGTTGTATGGACATTGGATGCTGAAGATAGTTTTTAAACCAAGTCAAATATTAAATATTTATTATGGGATCCATTTGGATAAAATATTCTTCAGACAAATATAAAACAAACTTTTATAATATTAATTTTTTTTTAGAAAATTTTTGTATTAGCTATCTCAGATATAAAATAATCATTTATTTTTTTAACTACTTTGTTGGAATAGTGACAAATGGAACAAAAACATCATTTTATTCTACAAGTTCTATATTTAAAATGAATCTTACTGACTTACTAGTTTACATAACAAATATTTCACTTATATTTTTAATTTTTATTAGCTATCAGGATTTTTTGTTTCTTCTGGTGTAGACATTTTTTCTGCTATCTCAGCGTACTTTGTCTGGCGATAGTCATATTTGGCTGCATCTAACAGGACATTTTGCAACAATAATTTATTATTTGGCTGTCTAGTTGTTAGTGACGGGTAAGGATTTCCTTTCAATTCAAGAATTGTCTTTTCAATGGCTCTTGCATATGCTGGTTTTGGAGCTTTGTACATTTTGGTGAAAGCTGAACTAGAATTTTCAAATCTAGGGACTAAAACTTTAAACAATTTATGCACTAGTTCCTTTTCGAGAAGCCAAAAATCGGCTATTTCCATTGTGGGTTTATGACAATCTCCATGGCTTATTGCTTCTGATATAAGCTGTAATCATAAAACATCATAAAATAAAGACAAAATTATGATTGACAATATATTATGATTTAATAAATATTACTTACTCTTTCTGCATATTGGCGAGCTTCATCAGCTCTATTATAGTTTAATTCGATTCTTTCATATTTTATTAAACCAGTTACAGTTTTTCGCAATTTATTTAATCTTCCTTCAGGACCTAGTGGATTTCTTAAACGTCGATGTGTTGGTGGAACTTTAATTCGTAATTTGGAAACAAGTTTTGTTATATCAGCTTGATTCATATTTATTTAGTATTGATTAAATAACACGATCAATTATATATTTTTTTAAAAAGGTTATGTTATCTATATTTAAGTATTTACTGGAGTTTCAACACTCAACTTTGACTTTTGTTTCAATAGACATCTGACAAAAAGACATTGTTACCAAATTAAAATATAAAGTTGAAATAATACAAACCTATTGTTAGATATTGGTGTAATTAATAATTTTGTAATGAGAATCAATTTATATAAATAATAATTAATCTTTATACACATATTTTTTGAATAAATAAAGTATCTCTAAACGAACCTTTTATAAAAATATTATTAATTATTATACAATGAGTTGTCCACTTATTTGAATTATCAATTATACTATTATAAAAGAGGAAAAGCTTCATTATTATAAGTATCACAATCCGAGATAGTTTTTTTAAATTTTATTTACCTACCTAGATTTTTTGTGTGGTCGCCTGTAATACGTTATGTCAAAACTCGAATGTCAAAGTTATTTGAAATGAAAATAAATATTATGTCTAACAGAAGTCATTGAAAGTTTGAAACGATATACGTTTTTGAACATTAAAATATTGGTTTGTATATTCCAAGCTATCATTTATGTATCATGACTTCAAGCCACAAAATGCAGGGGTGTACGAGCTACTTACAAGGCTCTGTGAAAAAACGGCTGAAAAATACTGTGTTCAAAGTAGAATATCTCAAAAGCTTCTTACGGCTAAGCTACGGTCTCACGCTTACGAAATAATTTTGAAGAAATCATCTACAGAATTATGTATCTCTGGATCGGATCCCTTTAATGACTTATTAAGTCACTATTTTATATCTCAAAAGTCTGCTAGAAATATTTGTGAATACAAGAAATCTGTTCAATTGAAAAAAATAATTGGCACCTTAAAATCTGCTAATTTTGGAGAACAAGTAGATGATATAAAAAATATTTTAAAACTCCTAAATGCACTTCAGAATTCTGTTACTCAAGATGTCTCTGCTGAGATGTTCCAGGTAATACAAATTATAGTTACATGGAGGTTTAAAACCTACATATAAATACATACTCCCGACATTTCGGCTACTTTTCAGCATTATGATCACATAGTAAAAAAAAATCGTGTAGTATATCTGAAAAATATTAGTTTAATTTAAATGAATAAAACTCTTGAAAATCTTAGATCTCATTTATGTATGAAAAATATTATAATGAAATTCCTGTCCATTGTATTGTTTCAGAATCCTTTTTCTTTTGGCATGCTCGATGAAATGCTGCCAAAACCGAAGAGAGAAACATTTGGTTCACCTCAACCATACTCATACTATCCATCTTACATTTTTGAGTTACCTTATTCAATAAAGAGACAAGAAAACATTTTAGATAAAAGCAATTCTCAATGTTATTCTGAGTATACCGTGGAAAGTTTTGATTCACGTTTGTGTAAGTATTGAATTATTATCATAATATAGATAATACCCCGCTTTACGCGAGGGATACGTTCTGAAGAAAATTGCGTTAACTGAAATTTTTGTATATTGAGGTTTATGATTATACACAGTCAAAAACTAATACACAAATATAAAAATCATTTTAATCTATTACTTTAATTCTAAGAACACTATACCATACATAGGTACTCCTATTTTTTACGAAAAAATACATGTATTGTCTTTTGGGTAGCATTTTGTTTACATTCTTGTAAAATACGTTCATAACACCAAACACTGTTTTTAATTTTTGAAAATCGCGTTATAGTGAAACCACACACAACGGGGTCACGTTAAGCGGGGTGTTACTGTATTTAATTATGCATTATTTTTTTAAACAATGTATTATGCTTACAGTTCTTGGTGATAATAGATCTCAGCAGGGTAAAGTCGAACTGAAGACTTTTCTTAGTCCGATGTCACTAGCTTCTATGACATCAACTGCTTTATATCCATATTCAGAACCAACAATATTTAACTACCCTCGTTTAACAGCACCTAGGGATATTCAAATACCAAATGAAGATTCTGTCAATATTAAGGTATGATTCCATACATATTTAAATAATTTAGTAGATTGGATGGTGGAGGTGAACTTTTAACTCTCATTAGTAGGGCCCGGATAAATATGTATTAAAAAATCTAAAATATGTACATAAAATATGGATGAAAAACCAAAAATATGGAAAAAATATGGAGTATAAAATAAAATACTTTCATAATTATTCATTAGATAGAGGCCCCTTAAACCTTCACCTGGTTCGCAAATCCCAGGCACTGTTGAAGCTCCTCTCTACAAAATGATGGACCTGACATCCACACAGTGAATCCATTGGGTGCTAGGAACTTTCATCTCTCTTTAAAAATTTAGATTCTAAGAATATACTATTAATAAATATTAATTCATAATGTGAGACTTGTAAATATTTAAATGTTTTCTATCAAATTTCAGGTATCATTTATGAGTAGTAACACAAAGGTAGATGTTAATGTACATTTTTTGGCTGAGAATGAGGGGTCAATTAATATTTGGGAGATTGCCTCACAAGTGGATAAAGATATTCCTAATGATATCTGGGAGATTGTTTGTAAGTATTGTTTTACTGTTTCACTCTTGATTATTAATGTTTAGTAGAATGATTACAGTGTAATACTTATATCATTGACTTACTGTTACATATGATGTATTAAACATTTATTTATTTCTCTAACTTTCCGCTTCATCATGGAGGCTAGTGAGATTTAAAGACAGACACATTTCGCTGGCCTTCTGCTTTAGCTTTTATCTCCAATAAGCAAACAAGTCATTCTGAAAGGCTACCCCATCAAAAAGTTTATAATCCCAAAACTGCTTTATTAAGCCAGTTAGTGGCTGATTTAGATGATTAAATAGCAAGCTCTGGAGTAAGGTTTGGTAACTATAAACATCAAACCCCCACTCTCAAAGAGAGTATGGTGTTGTTGATTATAATTACAAGGTTCCATTCAACTTCTATTGTCTCTATTTATTATTCACTCTATCCAAAACATGAAAGGTTTCAATTAAAAAAGTAAGTTTAGACATCTTTTGCACTTCTCTCTAAAAATTACTTCAATAACATCAGATGTCTGCACTGTAACCTTTGTTAAACTACTATTACTTAGGATAATGTCTGTTGAAAAAGTCAGTGTTGGCACTAAGGGGGCGTTTATAAATTACGTGAGGTATTTTTTTGAAATTTCTAACCCTCCCTCCCGCCTTGTTGAAATGTCGTGAGATTTTATTCAACCCCCTCTCCCAATATCACGTGAGATTTTTTTTCATGTGGATGGTGGCTTGATGGTGACAGTCAGTAAATGTATAACGTCGTATAAAAGATTTTTTCTTTTGAACGAATTAGGGAATGATTTTCATCGTATAACGATTGCGCTTAAGATTAAATCTTATATGTAGAATCTGGATGAAATGGACCAATATAGTACTATTTTTTTCGTTTCATTCAGAAAAAAATTACTTTATCACCTGTATTTTGTGTTTCTAATTCTTTTAACTCAATTGAATCAACTTAATTGATTTTCCTCTACCAAAAGTTGGACTGACTGTTAAGAGCTATGTTTTCATGTTTAAAAAAAATCACTCTTAATCATTCAATCTCAATTTCTCATACTAAATTTCTCAATGATATAGAATTAAATAAAGTAATTGGAAATAGACCTATATAGAAAATATACCTAGATAGAAAAACAAAAGTATTTTTTTTATAGTTCTTAAGCCTCTATTACTTCATGAATGTTGATTATATATAATCTTATAACAAATTTTTATTATTATATTTACAGCTAAACTTCCTCCGGTGAATGAAAGACAGATAATTTCAGCCTCATTTAGGGAAATGAGAATGTGGAGAGAAATTTATGCCAATGAATTGTATGATTACAGTGTGGTTACAGAAAAACAATTCATAAGACATATTATGTATTTGATAAGTATGTTATATAATTATTATATAAATTCCTTATTCAGTTAAAAGGTTATACTGTAATGTGCTTTACAAGGTGTTAATATAGAGTTTAAATTTGTGAAAGCAATAATTGTATATAAATTAGATAATGTAATTCTATGTCTAATAGTCTAATATTTCAATGGCATGTCTATAACTAATTTTATGAAAATTAATTCAGCTATTTTTGGCTGTTTATCTCTCAAGAATGTGTCTAACTAATTTCTTTTGTAGTTGGTGTTGAAACCAGTACATTTCCCTTAAGTCAAGCTGCGAATTGTTTCTATATGAAGGAGAAATTAATTATCGAAGGCATTTCTGAAGAATATCTTCTTGGTTATGTAACCACTCTGCTACAGATTGGCACTTATTATAGACGGTTATATAATTTTGCATTCAATCTTTCTGTTGAAGATCACTTTCATAGTAAGGGATTGGTTTATGAAGTGAGTATATAAATACATATTTTATTTTATTCTATTTCTTTGTTTTAAATATAGCACTTAATATAAGTTTGATTACAAAGTAGGTTTTACATAAAAAGGTTTTAATTTCTACATAATTTATGTATATAGTCACCAAAATGTTGGTGTATAAGAAAATATGTTACAATTTTTATTAAGAAAACTAAGGAATTATTAACGAAATTATATTTAATTTAGGCTGCAAGGGAAGTTATAAGAAGATATCTCCTAGATTTTAGACAAAAAGCTACTGAGATATATGAAAATACTGTCAACATAAACTGTCAAGAGGCAAATTGTATGCCGACGTTGTTGCAAATATTACATCACATGGAACCACTGAAATATGAAATTGAAACTATAGCTTCTATATACAAAATGGTTGATGCTGGTAAGTAGTGATATATTATTTATTAAAATTTAATTTGTATAAAATTATATTTAAATTTAGCAAGAACTTTTTGTGTATAATATATAACAAGTCATAAGGAATAGTTGGTTTTAAATAATGTTCGGGAGATTTTATCAAGGAAGAACAAAACCTATCCCAAACTCAATATTAGCACACAAAATAGTATATTGTGAACATTATGCTGTATTATACTAGCATATATTTTGTTTAAATTACATAATTCCTGCAAATTAAAGTGAAAAAACAAAAAAGTAAAATATTCTCATAATCTTCGATAGTTCATATTCAATAACACTGTTACCAACATAATAATAGAACATCTTACATAGGTTTATCTAAGTATATTTTTTTTAATGTTGGTATTATAAAGTATTTGTAAATATTTTTTCAGACTCCATATCTCTCGGTCACGGCGCTGAGCTAATGTCTTACTTGTTCAATGAGATATCTTTGGTGACACACAGACCGACGGCGCTAACCTTATACAACTCTCTATATACAATATGCAGGGTTTACTTCAAGTATGTATGATTTGTTTATATATATATATATATATATATATATATATATATATATATATATATATATATATATATATATACATATATGTATAAGTAAATTTTTATTCCTATTTTTGTTACCAGTAACTTTACTGTTGTGTAGTGCAGTGCGTAGTGCGTTTGATTTAAGCTGAGCTTTGCATTTGTGTGAGTGTACACGGATAGTGTACGTGTGATGTCAAATATTTGAATGCCACGTTCTTTTCTAGTTTTGAACCAGTTTGTACTGCTTTTACTCCGCCCCACACCTTTCCCACTTCAACTTTTGTACTGGTAGCAAAATCAAATGTTGAAAACGTAATGTCAAGTGAAGAAGAATTTGTATAGTTTTTTCGAAATTTTTATTAATCAATCATTTTTTTTCCATAATATTCATAATATTTCCATCTGGCCTTTTACAAATTTTGCTTATTTTGTAGCACTTATCTTATTTATCTATTTAAATTATAATAAAATTTAATTCTAAAAGTTTTTCGTCTAACTCTACTTTTACTATCACTCTAAAGAACAAATATCTATACTAATAATATAAAATTCTTGTAAGTAGAAGAAACAAAAAAGTTTTATTAATTTATTGGAAACGAATAAATCGTATAATCTTTAAAAACTTTGTTAACTTACATTTTAAATTCTTTCGAAAAAGTGTCTAATGTATTTCGCTAATACATATAAATATTTAATAAAAAGATAACCTAAACTTTTTTGGGTATTTTTTAAACTCTTACATCTCAAATAAAGAAAAAAAATATAAGTAAATATTACAATACATTACATTATAAAATTTATGTTTTATTTGCAGATTCATCGAACGTTTTATATTCGAAGGCGAGCTAAACGATGTTTACAACGAGTTCTTCATACGTAAAGACAATCAGTATGTGAATTCACGTTCGAAGAGATATTGGGACAAAGGTTTCCATATAACTATCAGTGTGGCTGTACCAGACTTTCTAAGACCGCTGGCTTCGTTTATACTTCTATGCGGGAAATCTCTTAGACTCTTGAAGTTATGCAATCCAAGCGTAAGTTTGAACTAAATTCAGATCTTGAGAAAAACATTTTAATTTTCTTCATGTCTGTAATTTATTGTTCTAAACATTTTCAATTAGAGTAAACTCTAGTAAGTAATATGCAAAATCTAGCGGGTAACTCCATCAATATTCAAATTAATCATACAGTGAGTTAAAAACGAGAATGTCATGCAAATAGCTCTATAATTATTTTTTGCTAAGGAAATGTCGCATGAAATGAGTATTCAAAGACGTACTATTCTACGTGGTCTCAAAAAAATGCCATCCCAAAAACATGCCATTGACATCTTTCATTTCTTGTAATAACTAGAAGTTAGATCATAAGACGGAATCTTTTCTAAGTAGTAAAATATTTTTTCTATATATCATTCTATAAATTCTGATTAAAAGCTAATCTACAACTTATTACTTAAAAACCCTTGGACTATCTACAAAAGCAATTTTCTTCTTTAATAACAACTATAATAATCACACAATACATATATTCGCCCCCAGGATCCGCTCGTCCTTCTAATAGCTGATCATCCATCAATCAAGTGCTGCACGACCTTCGAACAATTAGAACAGCAGCAGCAACTGCTGAATGTATATAGAACGAGATGTCTGTTTGTCAGCAGTCCGGTCACATTCGAACAGATACTATTAAAAAGGGAGGCTGAGAGGAAGGCTTTCACGGAAATGGCTTCCTTGAAACAAGCTGAGACTATGGAGAAAATTGTCGGTGAGTAAAAGATTTCCAAGGAAATGCCAAAAAACATAGTTCTCAACAACATATTATATTACTACACTATATTGTTACTATTCTAAAATAACTTTAACGCTGTTGGATTACCAATAAACAAAAAATAAAACCATATAGGAATGAATGTAATTAATTCCAAAGAATTTGTTCAACCAGAAATTTAATCTTGACATTTTATAAGAATTTTATTTAAAAAGCGCTATACATAACAGTTATACATTAATAAACAAACTTAAAACAAAAAAATTGATTAATAATGATGAAAATAATTCACAGCTGAAAGAAAACGACTCGCCCAGTTAATAATAGCTGAAAAGCAGCATTCTTTAAGAGTGTTAGAAGCGGCCATGGCTGAGGCGAGGGAAAATAAGAATAAGAGAAAGAGACGGACTGATGTTGAGAGTGAGACGGATAGAGCGAGAGATGAAGTCGATACTAAGATTAGGGATGATGAGAAGTAGGTATATTTATATATTTATATACTCTTTACTGTACAAAAATAATAGGAGTAAAATAAAGAAAAGAAAAATGTACATTAGGCGGCCTTATCGCTAAAACAGCGATCTCTTCCAGGCAACCTTTATATTATGATAATATTTATTAATTATTGTCATCAAGTATTAATATTTTTTTGGAACTTCCATATCAAAGCTAGATATACGAACATATGCATAAACAGATAATATATACATATACATATAGTAATCTATTACTCCTAAATAAAATTTATACATACCAAATATATATTGTCTACATCTATCATGTAAAATAAATATATTAATTTAATTACACAAATAGGAAAATGTATATAGTAATACAAAATTATTATTTGTAGGAATAAAATAATGGAATATTACTCAAAGTTGAATATCGAAGTGGAGAAGAGCAAAATACATACTGAATGGAAGATAAAACGTTTGCAGCTTGACCAAAGTCGGGTGCAATTATTGTCTACAGAAGAAAGGAATTTGAAACGAGAGAAATTAGAATTGGAGCATCAAAAGAATGAATCTGTTATGGCTATGTCCATACAGAGCGATTTTTATTCAGAGGATGAATCTAATATAGAAGTATCTAAGCCCGATTCAAGCCCTGATATCATAGAAGATAAAAATGACATAGACAAAAACAGAGATAAGGCTCAATCATCATCGGACGTTTTTAACGCGATATGTAACGTAGCAAAGAGCATATTTGGCGTCAAACCCAAAGACGAAACGCCTTGTGACAATGAAGTTAAAGTAGACATACAAGGAAATATCGTTACTATGGATACTGACAACAATATAAATACAAACCAAAACCTAAACCAAAATCCTTCAATCACATCTAGTGATGTTATCGGCGGTTATTTGAACGAAGCGTGTGATAATATACGGTTCATAGAAAACCGTAAAGAAGCTATGCGAAATAAACTCAAAGTGATGGCACATGAATTCGGACAAACAGACGATGAGAATAATCCATTGAAAGATTTAACACCACTAGTCAGAACTGCGTCCATAGACAAAGAAAATAACATAGAATGGACTGCATCCGAAGAAGCAAAACGAAACAAACAAAAAGTTTTGGGAGCTGAATTCGATATTATCAAACCGGAAATTAAGGACATCCCTACACCGATAACGGATGCGCAGAAAGAAGCTGTGATAAACAAACAAAAGGTTCTAGGTGTTGAATATAATCTGCCTTTAGAGAAGATTGTTAAAAACGACCCAGCGAATATAGCGCAAGAAGAGGCGTTAAGGAACAGAAATAAAGGACAAGCTTCTGACTACGAAGATAGTCTTAAAGTAAACAGGTTTGACGCAGCTAAGAAATCTGGTTTACGTTTGAACCTAAAACCGTATAGTGAAATGGGTGAGAAAAATATAACGACGAATACAGTGGCGATTACACCGGGCGAAATGTTTACTGAGGTAAATTATTATGATACTTGAATTTTGTTATATATCTATCTAATTTTAGTTTTTTATCTCTAAAACAAATAGCTAAGTTCTGATTTACTATAACATAATAGATTTTTTGTGAACGAACCATACAAACATATCACTTTTTCATAGTTATTTCTCATGGTAATATTATATTAAATTATTTTTTATTTCTCTACAGCTTGATTTAGAAACTCCAACAACCGCTGATGTTCCAATAGACGCGTTGACAAGCGATATATTCACACCGAGAAGTGATGGGAATACAGAAGCTAATACGAAACCCGATAAGGAATTCCTGAACTCCGATGGATTCAACTTTTCAATAATCGTAGACGAGGACGCGGAAAATACTCAATTAATCGAAGAAAACACTCCAGAAAATTCTTCAACAGAAACTAATGTAATTTCAACGCCGATTAAAACATCGATATTTAATATTATAGATGGTTCATACAGTTTGGAATCTTTCGATCCTTTCGGTGTTAAGGAGCTATCAGGATTTTCAAGGGATTTTTTCAATAGCAAAATCAATTTAGACACGGACACATTTTATACCCATCCAGCTATAATTATGGACGAAGTAAAGAAAAAGCCCTACAATAATATATTCGCGTCTCATTGCAACCCCGAAAACGAGGAAAAAATCTCATGCGACAATATAGCAACACTGACGGCTTGTTTGCAGAGATCTGTGATGTTGCCATTAACATATCAATTGGAGGTCGTCAATAATTCAATATTAACACATTTCCTTGTTAATCTTGATATGTATGAACATTTGAGGAGTTTGAAAGACTATTTCTTCCTAATGGACGGTGAATTTTCTAGAAGCATATGTCACAATTTATTTTCTAAATTGACTAAAACCTTGAATCCACAGGAGTTATTGAATTTTGCTACATTGCACAATATATTGGATAAAGCGCTGGGATCGTCTATATCACGTAAGTTTTACGATGAAATTGTATTGTAGTTATATTAGATGTTAAAAATAAAAATTCTCCATAAAATTTGTCTACCTGTATCGACAAAGATTAGTTTAATAGAGACCAAACAAGCAAAAAAAAAAATTACAGAAATATTTAAATAAATTTATTAACAATATCATTATATTGTATTTAATCATTGTATATTTCATTTTTATTGTTAAATTACTATGTTACTGTGGTGTACAATAAAGTATATTATTATTATTATTTAAAATGAACTGTCCAACAATATCACTTGCAAAATATATATTACAAAATTTCATATTCACATTTAGAGTAAATCAAATTGTTTATATTTTTCAGATATCCACAAGTTTTCTGAAAACCTTTCATTCACTATAACAGACTCGCCGCTGAGTTTTCATCATAGTTCACCAGATGTATTGCAATGTCTATCTCTCACATACTCCGTGAAATGGCCTTTGAATATAATACTGTCACACGAAGCTTTGCTTCGATATGCTAAAGTATTCCAATTTCTTATCAAGATGAGACGAATTTTTTGGGTTCTTAGTGAAGATTTTGAGGTAATTCCTTTATATTTCTATATGAAGATATTATTATTATATTTACAATATACCTTTTTCTTGTGAGTCCTTTCTAAACAAATAAATTGGATTTTTTTATATTAATTTTCGTCCTCTTTGTCTGAAATAGAAAAAACTAAATAAAGAATGTGTAGTTATTAGAACAGATATGTTCACTAACCTTCAGCACCATCTCTCGTATGTCACGTGACTTTACACAATTGTTGAAATATTTTCAAAGTAATAAATTTTCTACTATTTTTTATTTTGACACTACAGTATATAATACGCAAAAAATAATCGTAATACATCCACATGTAATTTCGCGTTTATAATAAGTTTATTACCATATTTTAATATACTTAAATTTTTCATAATTTCAGTCCCTAAAACTAACAGTGAAGCTATCGCGTCAACATTCCCGGAAACTATTGAAGTCCCCACAATACATTTCAATACAGATATACAGACATATAATGGCATCATTAATACGGGCCTTTGATAATTACATAGTGACCACATGCATACTGACTTCGTGGACTGAATTCGAGAAGGATCTCAAGAAAGCAAGGACTTTAGATGATTTGTATGAATGTCACGTGGTTTATATCAAAAAGGTTTTATTTAGATGTCTCTTGAACAATAGATCTACACCCGTCATGAAGTTACTGAATGATATATTCACTGTTATATTGAAATTCAGTAGAGTACTGAAGGCTGGGTAAGAATTTAGTTTTAAAATTATTAACTAAATAATTTTCTATTAAGGTTTTTGTTATTATATTTATGGCAACATTTAATTTATACAGGGTGACTGGTGAATTACAATCAATATTTAAGGAAAATACTCGGTACATGATTCTCATTCGAATTATGTAAAAAAAATAGGTACTTAATTTTTGACCAAATTTTCGTATAAATAAATAAAGTGTGGACACGTTCCAAGTGTTCCAAGTGTGGACGCGTGCGGCGGCGTGCTGATACAACACCACGCCGCCGCACGCGTATGTGTGTGTGTGTATACCTAATCTGTAGGGTGTTGACATGATGCTAATTAATTACATAACTTTTGGTTAACTTTACTTAGAAGTTTATTAATATTTATGTTATATTAATTTTTATTTTGTTATATATAATCGTCAAATATCACGTCCTCAAGTATCGATAGTAATTCACCAGTCACCCTGTATATTTTAAACCTATGACTTCAGTTGCACTGGAATCATGAAATATTTGGCCGATGACCCAATAACTTCTATTTTTAAAATTGAATTGTCTTGCTTGTTAATGAATTTAACTTTCAATACTTTTAAATTTGTATTCTTACTTATATTGCTATTTTAAATTCTTTTTTTTTTAAATTATTTATTAACTTTATCATTTCAGAGAATGGCAACAAAAAGAGCCTGATGGTAATTTCACACATACCAATTATAACCAATTGGAAGAATTGTTCCATTTATTTGAAAAACTCGCAAAATATTTACACAAAGTTGTAACAAAACTAATGGAATGTGGCTATCAAAGACATTTGGTTGAACTTCTTACTATGATTAATTTAAATGGTTATTATGATCCTGACAAATCTAAAGAAGATACTAATGTTAGTGTATAGTAAAAATAATTTGTTTTTAAGTCCATACAATATATTATAAAAGACATTTAAAATAATGATATTGTTAATCTATATAAGACTCGACACAGATTTTTTTCTAATCATTTTATTCTGATATCATAAGTCAAGGTTTTGTTTTTGCCAATATTGTAATGTTTAGAATTTTTTCCTTTGAGTTGTCATTTCCAATGATAATAATTAATATGTATCTGAAATATAATTAGTATAGAGTTACAAAGGTAAAGCTGTGACATAATATAACATACCTTACTAAAGATCTGTCTATCCAACTAATTATTCATTGTTTGATGTATAAAATAAAAATAATTGTCTTTATTAACATTAACTTAGAAACGTTATTCTAATTTGTTTTTAAATATAATGTTTTAAAGATATGCTTTTAATAGTTAATGTCTCTAAGAAACATATTTCTAACGATAATATATATAGGCTTGAATGTTGCTTGATATTGAATAATGTGGATATTGTTTTAAGTATACAATAATGATTGAAGTATTAAAAACGATATAGTTTATTTTAAATTTCGTGTATATGTGATGTGTTTATCAATATTATAATTCAATAATAAATGTGCTTTTGTAATTTGTTGTTTTCTATAGGATTAATGTGAATGTATAAATCATGACAAGTTTTTTATCAAAAAAAAAATTTTGTTTCAATAGACTAAGTCCTGCCACTTTATTAGTATTTAGAAAATGTCCAAGAAATACGTAAATGTTTTGCAGTTAATTACTTTCTTTAAGTGGCTCTAGTTAGTTAATGTATTAATATAACCAAAATTTAATATGATACCAATATTTTTTATAATTATATATGTAATATGTTATTTAAGTGAATCTTATAGACATTAGTACAATCATCGTCAAATGCGTTGTTTTCAAATTAGTCATTATTAATTTTAATTATTGTTTTTAATTATGTCTATTATTAACTGATCACTACAAAGTAATAAATTAATATCTACTAAATGTGTGGCTTATTTTGATTATACGCCTTTATCGTTTCACAGATTTGATGAAATTCAATATAAATTTTAGGCTAGCTAATTAATTAAATACGTCTCCGTTAATAGACGTTCTCAACATAATAAGAAGGATCTTTTATCATGTAAGTTGTAAAAAACTAAGAAGCGCTCCATCTACGCATCCTATTACTTTTTATATTTCCTACCCATAGGTGTCGCTTCAGAATTTTAACAATGTCTCTAACCATACTCAACAATGAAAAATTATGATTAACAAGCGCCATCTAGTATTCAGTAGCATTTATATTCTCCCATCTTTTGATGGAAAGACAGAACTAAAATAATATTTAAAATACGTTTGTACTGTTTAATAATTATTTTATCATGTATATTTACTATCTAACAAAATATAATTTTAATCAGCACTTTAGTTTTATATCATTATTGGTAAAAAGATGCTATAGATGATTAGTAAATAGATATAGGAAGTTTACGATAGTGTCCGCATCGACAGTAGCGCCATTATTTTCCTTATATTCAGGGTGTGTTTTCACAAATACTTCATTCTACAGCAATTCGTTCGAAGGTGAACATCCGAACTTAACATAGTTTCGAGTGACATTGCTGTGAAAGCTGAGTGTATTTCATAAATATTTGCATATATATAAAGTATTCAAGATCATTTTGAGAACTGAATCATTATAAGAAAAGCTTATTTAATTAAATCAAAGATCTTCAATAAAGAGCTAACAGTGTATAGAAACCGTGATTAAGAATATCGATCGGTACACGGTTTTCAGTGAACGAGCTAAAATTTTCAACGGCACCTACTTAATTTCAACAAAAACGTTAAAAACCAAGAGTCACCGTTACAGTCGCCGAGATGGCGTTTATGATGCCAGTAGTAAAGAACGATTGGGATATATACAACTCGCAGAGGTCGCGTCGGGCTTCGGAGTCAGCGGACAAAGGGAGTATAGGCGGGAGAGTGCGGAAGGTTTCGGAGTCTCGATCAGAAGGACCTGTGCTGTCTCCGCGCACCGCAGCCACCCTCAGCCCTCACAGGAGCGCTCCAGCCATGAGGTCCCTCTCCTACTGCAGAGTACCACCTTCACGAGCGTCGCTGCGAGTGTACGAGAGTCAAAGGGGCTCGGGTAGTCCGACCGGCAAGAACAGGGATTCAGAGAAATTCCACAGCAGGTTGGTGGAGAAATTGAGGAAGGCGTTCGGTCGATCTGAATCGAGAAACGACGAGAGGAGCTCGTGAAATAACCGGGCGTGCTTGTGTGCAGGGCGTGCGGCGGATCTCCCGAGCGAGGGTCGCGCTGCGCCGCCTGCATGCCCTACCTGTGAGCCCGCGACGACCTGTGATACGTACGTGGCAGCCGTGATGTGAATGTACCGCATAAACATCTTACAAACATCCCGATATATCATCAGTTCCGTTCGCTTTAACCTAACGCATGTATGGCAGTTTTATTTAGTTTCTGATATGTTATTTGATGTCTAATAGTTACTTGTATATATACCGGCACCTGGTGAAATCAACTATGTTTAAAGTGGTAAGAAGGTTGTAGGGCTGTATGTTGAAGACTGCGTTATTTAAGTATGGACGCGGGTGTTGGCTATGAATATAGTCCCAGCCCCCGGTTCTGTCTGCAGTAAGTAGCTTGCGATGGTATCTGTGATTCATTATGTGTAAGTTACTGTGTTATTTATTGTTACGGAAAGAAGTACCTTTTATTTATATTTCATTAGAATATGACGACCGTAATTATTATTACGGAATTAGAATCTATTGGAAACAAATTTTGCGTTACGAGTATTATATGTTGAGAATTATATTATTGAAAAATTAGTCAATTTTTTTATTATAATCACAGTACCTATGAAATGAATGTAATTAGTATTATCTAAAAGTATTCGTAATGAAGGCCTTTAATTTTATAGACAGTGATATAGTATAGAATAATATTTAAGGGATGTTTTGAGTTCCGGCTATTATTATTATATGACTAGTGTTTAATCTTTAAACTATGTACGTTAGATATTGCATGTTTTCTATGTGATGTTAACTCGACTGTGTAAATGGACCAGCTTTATTAAAAGTTAGTATATCAGTATGACTGAGAAAGTGATTTAAGTATCTTATATGTGTATTGTAAGTTCTGGATAAGAACAAACCGTTTTAGAATTCTGCTAATAGTTCCTTTAAATTTCAAAACTGCCATCTAAATGTTGCCTGTTTAATGTTCAATATTTCGTGTACATTAATTTAAAATAGCATGTAACTTGCATTGTTTTTGATCTGATGTTATAAGAAATATATTGCTTATCCAATCCATTTTATGTTTTATTACTTTCTTGTCACAAACTAACCCAAGGCATTAAAAATATGGAAACTAAGAGATTATAGAATTATTATAAAAATATCGAAAAAAACGCCGTGTTTAATTCGAGAACACAATATTCATCGATTAATAAACTTAAAGAGCATTTCTTGAAATATTTGTTGTTAAAATTTAAAAAATTATTTTGGAATCCTTGCCGCATATATAAATCTAATGAGATCAATTAAAAACATATAGTAATTAACAATTTTATTATTCATAATTACAAAAACAGCCTTGAACAAACACTTATTTCATATACAAATTAACACTGAAGTTACTTTTATAGCTAAAAAGGAGTTATTGGTCACATACTTGCACCTTTGTACTTAGAGCTTGGGAGAGATTCTCGAACATTCTAGGCGTTCTACGACGGGTTCTATGCAACTGGAGGGGCCGCCCGCCGGCGGGGACTCGTTGAAAAGAACTTTGTTGATTGCTGTTTATGAAAGCCATTCATAAAACATAATATAATGGTTGAGATTCACAAATACAAGTTGTTCCAATTTAAAATCAAATATACTAAAAACATATAGTTTTACTAAATATTGCAATACACATAAACAGTTTTAAAGACTGCAAAACTATTTACAAATAACACTAAAATCTGTTGGAAAATTAAGGAACTATTAGTTTTTAAGTAAACTAAGATCTTCTGCAATAATTCGTTTCAATTGTTTTATGTCAGGAAATGCAGAATTATCATACGGCGCGCATAGTGTCATGTTCGCGCCATATCGTCTATCGATCGGCGCTTCGTTCCACGCAAGCATTTGGATTATCGGATAATGCCTGAAGCCTAGTTACTTAAAAATGTTAATTTGTGCTATATATTGAAAATGAATTATAATATAAAATTGATGCAGACGTTGAGTCAGTTAATAATAAGAGAGTATAGAAGTTTTGGAGTAATTAATATTTTATTAGTATTTTGTTACATATTCATAAAAATGTTTATCTTTAATCTATAACGCTATAAAAGCTTTGGTGTTGTTTTCTGATAAAATTTCATAAATTCATACTATCTACGAAGTACGTCAGATATTTTTATTGATAAAATAGAAAATACTATCTACATCCTACGGCGTTCCTTGCTAAAATTGTATGACATTAAAAATGGCATTAAATGACCTCTCAACTCAAAGGCTTTCTCGCGATTACTTACCTTCCTAAAATAATATCGAAGATATAGGAAGACAAACAAATAGATAAATATAAAATTATACAGTATTAATAATTATAATGTCACAAAAATATTAAACACTGGTCTCCGACATACTTTTAATCAAACTTAATTCGATGTAAAAGTTATTGACCGTAATTTTTTTTTATTAAAATATTCAAAGTCAAAAATACCATATACAATATATGTAATACAAATGTTTTAGTTAACTGTTATTTAAAAAAATCGATATATTATAATAGTGTTTACCGTTTTTGAACGTTTATTTAAAATTTTCATTTCTAGGAATAAAACTGACGTCTAATTAGCATTGTTATAGTCTATTAAAAGATTTTGTTTTTTTATTTAGGCACATGTAAAACAAAAATTCAAATATTTGTCATTACGAAAGTCATGCCATATTTAAAGCATATTTTTCAATTGAAGATAATTACGATAACTATGTCGTATTTAAAAAATATTGTATGTGTAATACGTAAAATAATTTTCTTACCGAATATAACCCTTTACCTTGAAGAAAATCATGAGGCTTCCTGCATGCTTATAATTGAATTGGACTGATCTCGTTAGCCGGTTATATCCAGAGCTATTTATAAATATAGATTGCATTGTAACCGTGTGGGTGGGAAATGACTTTTGAAGTTAAGCTATACTTATTTGTTAACAAGTTTTCTTAGTAATTTTATGATCTTTGCTTAATGAAAACAGTTATTTTATTGCGTAATTTATATATTGATGTTAATAAATTGACATGTAATAAAATAGGATTTCACTATTAACATTTGACTTATGATACATTGTTGTTTAAAAGAATATGTCTCATGTCACGTAGGCCTTTGGGACGAATTAAAGTAAATAATGATTTATAAATATAAATATTGTCTTTATTATAATTTTACGTCAACATTAGTAACATAACATTGCATATTTTCCAAAATCTATAATATATAACGATCTTAGCGTTTGTTTTGCAACATATAATAATTTTGAATCGATATAGAATTAATGGAAGTCTGATAATAGCCGGTTATTTGCGGTTCACTTGCTGTCCACTACGTGTCATCGCCGCAAACATTAAATATCGTTAATAGTACATATTATGCAAACAATGTAAATGTCAATCTCAAGTTTATTTTAAAACACTATTAGAGAAATATATATTACTATTCTAAGTTACAATACTTATATGTCATCTACATTTATATTAAAGTTTTTCGTAAAAACTTTTTATAATTCTCACATGTAAAATTTCTTCAAATATTAACTGTCATTCTGACGTTTGACGTTTATAAAAAGTATCAATTTAGACCAATGAAAGCTCAAAAATATAAAAAAATATCCAATACAAATTTATAAAACTTTAATATCGTGAAATCAAAAATGTAAATTGTGTGACAAATGAACCATATAAAACATATGTACTGTTAAGAAATTGTTTAAAACGAAACAACAATGGCGCCTCGGTCTCGGTTGACCGCAATCATCCTTGAAGGACACAGATTATAACATGACAATGTTAATATCTATTTTACAGGTGTACGAAACAAACGTCATGTATACGTATTTAAATAATTATCTCATTGCGGAGATATATCAGTTACATACTTATATAATTTTTATTAATTAATTAGACTGTATTTACTTAATAAAATACGTAATATTTTTTGTTTGATTTTCCTTTACGTAATTTTGTAGACACGTTGATGGTATAAATATTTATATTTCCTATTTTAACTAATCCTTTAACTATTATAAAATTAAATCTCAGCATATCATATTGATATATGTGAATTATAAAGTTAATTTCTTTATTATTATCTTACTTTTAGTACTTAGTTGATAACAAACTTAATTTAAGAGACTAAAACAATCTAAACAAATTTTTGTTAAAAAAATTGAGACATTATTTTGATACTTTTCTGTATAGCGTTATTGTCTTACTTGGTACCAAATTAACACTTACTGAATGTGGTCTAATTACTAACAGTATTCTTTAAAATCGTGCTAATTATATTTAATAGAAACAACAATATATCACTTACGTTGTCGTATATGTAAACATTGTTAAAATGAATCTTGTGACGCTTGACGTAAAAATTAAAAAACAAAGGAATACAGACATTCCATTTTCAAATATTTTAATAATATTCAAATAGTCTTCATCCACACTATAATGCTAATAGCTATATATGGTGTTAGTTTTATAGTGGAACTTTTTTCAAACGTATTCAGGTGGGTTTCTATTTTATTTGATATTCTATATTTAAATCTATGGAAAATTATATCTACTTTTGATACAGCGATGTAATTCATAAAAATTGCGATTTACTATAGAATCTGAATTATTCGTATTTTATACAGTGCTTCGTACATGTAAATTTTTTCGTAAAAAGTTTTGTTATTTTACATTCTTTTATAAAAAGGATTAAGATAATTTTATAATTTAATTTTTCTATCATGTTGATAACATGATAAGGATCTTACGCTATAGATATTTCTGTTATGACTTTATCTATTGTTATCGAAATTATAGTATACATTAAATATAAAAACATGATCAGCCTAACCTAATGATTCACTGCTTGTTACTTAACGGCGCCGTTGGGGCGCTGCCTTAGTGGAATATTCCAGGAGAATAAAAATCAGTTAATATTTTAAAATTAGAACGAAAAATAATGCCAACTTTTTATTGTA